ATATTTCTAAGAGTATTTGATAAGAGCATTTTGTATATATATATGGATAGTTTTCATAACTTTTTTAAATGGATGCATACTATTCCTACTCCTCAATATCCTTCACAAATCATACTATTTAGTCTCTGGAGTCAAAGCCGGTTTACCTCACTTTCTGAAGCAATATTTATCTTTATACAACTGATACTCTCCTACTTTGATAAGCTTCAACAGTACACAATGTTGAAATATTGAAAGCAAAATACCCTTGTGTCCCTCCCCTGGAATTGCCCATTGCCATGTCTCTAACTTCTGGAGGACAGCATCTCCACTTAGCCAAGATAAGGATGGCATAGTCCTGGGGCTGACAGTGAGACCTGAGGCTGTGACTGCCCAAAGCCTGAAGTGGCTTTCTCCACTATTCTCATGGACCAAAGGAATGTGGAAACCATGTTGTGAGAATAGTTCTCACATTAGCATAGTGTCTCATTTCCTCAATACCCTCAGAATCCACCTCTCAGTGCACCCCAGGCTGCTCCTTTTAAAGGCCAACTCTGATCAGTGCCAACTCAGATCAGTGCCATACCAGTTCCCAGACTCTATTGATAAGCCCAAGTTCCCTGGTCTAGAATTTTCTGGCAGCCTACTTTTCTTGTCAGAGTTCCTGTTTTTCTGAGTACTTTAAGTCCCCAATATGCTCACCATTCACTATTTACTGAGTGTGTCTCAGTCTTGACTGTCACCTGCCTTTGTGATATCTCCATCCATCTCATCTCCCAGTTTAGACATTAACTTCCTCTGCGGACCCAGCTCTCATTCTGCAGCATGTGTGGAACTCATTCACTTAGGGAATCAGTCGTGGGCCTGCATGTTTCAGTTTAGTCCCTTTGGCCCATCTTTGCCTACCAGAATAAGCAGTGTCTAGGTGCTGTGGATAATGAATGATCATGGGGAGATCCTGGGCAATGCAAGAAAGGCATTGAGATCTCCTCTTCATAAGTTGGAGAGGAATGTTTGCTGCACCTAGTTCTCAGAGTTATTCTGGAGTCAAATAGTTTTGACCCACTACCATGTGTCAGACACTAGGCAGAACCACACCCATGCACATAATCGATTTTTCTTCAGGTTTTCATGCTGTCAGTATTCATCTTTTATCTTCTTGATTAAGGAAAATCCAGAGGATGGGTTTTCTTCCTCCAGCTCTATATGGGCCTCTGGGTCAGTGCCATTGCTCTCTTCCTGGGTCCCCTGGGTGCTCCCTCTTCACCCCTATGACTGTTGCCACCACCCAGCTAAGCTGAGCAGCATCAAGGCCACTCCCCACCAGACTCAGCTACCTCCTTACTTTTCCACGCTTCCCAGGGGTGGCTGTGTGTGCAGCACCCTTGGTGGTTACTGGCTATGAATTCCACTGTCCTCCACAACTGGCCAATGAACTGCAGCTATGGTGTGACTTGGATGATTTGTTCAGAGAATCTTTGCTGGATGAAAGCTTTGCTCCTACTATCTGAGTATGAAAGTCTTAGAGAGGCATCCAGGTTTTCCTCTTTTTACACCAGATTTGGAAGCAAGGACCATTAGCTAGACCTGGCTCTGCCTAGTGCATGGTATCACAGGCCAGAGCTGGTACCAGGACAGTTTTCTTGGGGCTGCTGCAGTCTAGCTATCACCACAAAGAGACAGACTTAATCACTGATCATTAAATGAATTTTAGCTACTAACTGGTTGAATTTTCACCTGGCTTTGAGACCTCTCTATTGAGCCTTAACTGTGATTAGATTTCCACGTTTAACCTTCTGGGAGACAAAATCAAAACTGGGATATAATGTCAAGTGAAAAAGCCTCTTCTACTTGGCACTGCTATCAGAACATGGCCAAGAGTCTCCTTTTGTAAGTAGTTGAAAATGATGCGAGGCAGGGCTCTTCACCAATACAGGACTTATTCCAAGGGGTCAACTTTCCAATCTTCCACCTCCTTAATCTGAAATATGAGCCCATCGTGTGGCTTAAGATCTTCAAACCAGTTCCTGGGGGATTTCTATAAGTGCAGTAATTTTTATATGTCTATTAAAGAAACAATCCATGCAACTAAGAATAGTTTACAATGAAGTGGCATTCCTCCCGACAGAACTGACAAGGCCAGGAGTATAGACATGGAGGATATATTTATTCTGTTGCCACCAAAAGCCTGAAGCACTGCATCTGGCTTTCGATGTGCCAGGAGGGCCCTGGTGATGACCAACAGTCATTCGCTGGACTACTGGGAGGAGGACCTCAGTAAGGTCAGTCACTTGAAGGCAGAGTCTGATTCTTTCCTTCATACTTAACAGCTCCTCTGGGGCCGCATGACTCAGCGCACACACTGCCATCAGCCAGCACGAACAGCTCCGTAAATCTGCTTTTATTAAATTGTCTGGATGTCTGTGGAGGTCAAAAGTGGGCCAGAGAAAAAGTTTACTAGGTTCATTTAGCTTAGAGATCTCATAAAAAAGTCTTGCAGTTCTATGCCTGTCCCAGCCTGGGAAGTAATTCAATAGTAAGACCTCCACATAAGCCCAGCCACTTCATTCCTGGTAGGGTAGTGAGGGGAGTGACAAAAGACTTCTTGGAGTAAAATAGAGTGTCATTGATGCTTTATTTACATGCGTCATCATCTTTTACAAACTAGATTATGGTTTAAATGGAATACACAGGCAATATCTACAAACACCAAGGGAAGAAAGCACTGCATCTCCATTTCATTTGGAAAGGGGCAGACTCCCAAATCAAACTGGTTTTGATCCTTGAGAAGAAAGGCAGCAGAGCTAATTCATGGCAACATATGGTTAGACAAACTCCTCAGTATTCAGAATGCAGGATGATAGTGTTTGCTTTGAAAGGACAAGGTGCTTCAGACCAAAGGGTGAACTGCTTGATTCTTAGGTGTTTGAATATGGCCATATGCCATACTAGAATTCTAGTTTGTATGGGGCATAAACAAGAAATCAAAACAGATAAGACAGTTTTACAGATACTGTATACAGAGGGTTTTTTTTTCCATTCATGCAACTTTTTTCTTTAAAAAAGTTAAACATGTGAAGCCAAAATGTACAATACACTTTTTAATATTTGCTAATTTTTCTGGTCCTCCTTCACATCTGTTTATATTTCCCACATACATACTGTGCTAGGACAAGTATACAAGAAAAGACTGATTGCCAGGCAAGGAGACAATTTTAGAGAAACGAGTGACCAGAAACATTTTTTTAAGCAGCTACACAAATATTTCTGGAGTGTGATAGAGGCCTTGTAATCATTCATCAAAGAAAAATACATACAATTAAAACCAAACACCAAGAAACTATTTCATCCAATCAATCTGCATAAAATGTTACCCACTTAAGATTCAGCTCAAATATCACATATTTTCAGTTACTTGAGCATCTGCTTTAAGATCCTGTTTGACAGACATGATTCCACAAAACCTCTCTCCCTTCATGCCCTGCCTGCCCTGCTCCAGGGGGAGCTGCCTCTTTTTACCTGTGTACCAGAGATTGTGTTTCTATAAAGTTTGTTTTTCTCAATTAAGAAAACAAAACCTAAATCACAACATTATTATGTCTGCTCTCCAAATACATCAAGAAAAAGAAAACATTTTTACTTTCCCTCACCAGTCCAGGGCACCAATCAAAGGCTTGCTTTCTGACTGTTTTATTCTTGATGGTCTTTTCCAAGAGATTCAAATGTTCCTTGTTCTTTCAGTGGACTGAGCTCCTTGGGAAAAGACAAGTTGTCTGTCCCTATGACCATTAACCTGTGCACAGGTTTGAAAGCTGTCTGAACAGTCACACCTGAGATGGGGTGCACCTCTCCTGAGTAGCGAGCCATGGTGTCCTCTCCTCTGGCTGGGAAAGCAATACACATGATGCTAAAAATCAACCCCCAATGTTCACTTTGTGCACGATCTTCATTAGCAGGAGAGACGGGAAAAAAGTCAAACTGTGCTTCAGTAATCATTACATTGCCGAGGATACAATAAAGAAAGCCACCTCAGCTGCATTCACAATTCACGGAGTATGCTGAACCTGGCGCTCTCCTCACACCAGGACAGTGAAGGCTTGTGAAAAGCTCTTTTCTAGCTTTGGTACAAGGTATCAGGTTTTGGAACCTGAAGAGAACCACAGGGCCCCAGAGTGCACATTCTGTCTTCAACACTAGGTACTCTGCTCTCTAGACTCCTGTCACAAAGCAGACAGAGTTCCCTAATTTGGGAACTGCTAAAGGGGCTGGGGTAGCCCTGCAGGGTTATATCAGGATTAAATTACAGCTGCTGGCCCCAGGGCCATGAGGTCATCTGCTCAGATGCCTGGATAGAGCATTTATTGTTAAGAGACTCAAGACATTCAGAATGCTACTTGGTGACCAATAACTGGTTTACTCTGAAAGCAGGGTCCCCAACAGGAGGGACACAGGGCCCAGACTGTACCTCTGCCTAATCTGACTGCCATAGCACTGGGTTTCCTAAGGGAGCCAGGCCTCTCTGAGTGGGACATCTGAAGGTGGGTATACACGGGTCCTGGACAGGCCTGACTATTAAAATCTTGCCTAATTGTCTTTTGAGCCACACAGGGCTTGGCTTTCCACAACACTATGTGTGGATTCTGTTTGTATTATTTCAAAAAGTAAAGAAAACCAAAGCATTTCTCCTCTGTTCTCCTGATCTGCTCTGAGGCCACGCTGGCCTCATACCCTTCTGTTCTCAGCTTGTACCAGATCAAATTATAATCTTTTTCTAGGACATTTTGTAAGGACACAGTGCCCAAAATCCAACGAACACTGGGAAAGAAAAGAATAAACGAGACATCACATGTCTGAAAGGAATTAAAACATTTAGAGCTGGGGGAACATATCAGAGGTTGGCTTTTCTCACGCTCAAAGCAGCTCTCAGGGTCTATAAACTGCATAGGCAAGCTTCTGAATTAGTTTGCTCATTTCTTTAAACTCAGGAGAGAATTCTCAGGGCTGTCATGTTGGAAGCACTTGGGGTTCTCCCTTGTACCTGAGCTCTGTCTATCTCCCCTCAGCTGCTGCCTCAACGCACTCCACCCAGGAAGCAGCACTTTGGGAAGGCTTTGGCAGTCCTCTGCCCAAAATGGTACAGGTATTGTATGGACAGCTGACTACCGAGGAATCAAAGGAGTGGCTAGCATCATTATAAAGGAAGATAGTAAGCAAGTATGGCTCACTGACAAGCATACCATATGAATACAATACATATTCTTAAAATTATACATACTTTAAAAATGAAGATTATAAACATGTAGCAGTTTAGAAAAGGCAATACGCTACAGGTCTACTATAACCACAATTGCACAACAATTTACAGATTCTGTAAAAGGCAGAGATTAACAGGGATATCACTCAGATATGACAATCCAAGTGGGGCAGGAAAGACATGGGACAATACCAAATGGAACTCTGATTATGCTATGAGCTGTGATTGCCACCAACATCACCCCCCAAGGAGTTATAAAACAAAGGTGCACAAGGGGGTCCCTGGTGGTCAGTGGTAGGTGCAGGAGGTTGGGTGGCACATCTGGGTTGGTGTCCACTGCCACAGTGCAAGCAACAGTGAGAACTCAAGCAGGGAAGTCTGTGCTGGAACACTGGCCTGTAAACGCCCATGCATAAAGTTCCATTTTTGTACTGTACATGATAAAATATATATTATACATTTATATGCCTAATGCTTTTTATGCAAAGAAGAGTCTTCATTTGTCACTTTGGAGAAGTATGTATATACTGTGCTAATCAGAGCATCATCACACCAGTTTTGTATGTACCAAAGGTGTTCCCAACTATTCTGCATACCAAAGGGAGTAACAAATACAATCACACTTTCCAGGTTAAACAGAAAGCACCTATACAGCACCATAACTTTTTGAAAACAAAACAATGAAATCCATAGAAGCAGGAAAAGCTTTTAAAAAAGTTTGAACTGTACTTCCATTATGTCATTTTACAATTCCAACCTAAGCTTGCGTGCGTGTGCGCGAGTGTGTTAAAAAAATCAACTTGTATGCTATTGCCTTTCATTCATACTAAAAGATCTGATTACACACAGCAAGGGTGAAAATAATCAAAAGATATATATGCTTCAAAACAGTGAAGTTGGACCTCCCTTAGTGCTGCCTCGGTTCGTCTTTCCCACACATTTCTCACTGCAAGCTTAATGGCTCATCTGTAATTTCATGTTTTCTGAAAAGCAAAACAGCACACATATTTTTTTCCTTTTCTTTTCTCCTTAAAACTAAGTTTGTCAGCGGCATTTGGCAATGAGTGGATAGCTGGGCTGATTTCTTTCCTAAAAAGACCCTAGTTTCTACCAGACCAACACTGTTCACAGTAGCTGAGGAAACTGACAGAAGACCACAGGCTCTACTGAGCAGCTCTGAGCAGACAGCTGCAGAGCAGGCACTGAGAGGTCCTGTCCCACAGACCCCAACTCAGAACTGGAAACGACTGGGTCAGATGCCGTGATGCTGTGCTCCACTAGTTTTGCCTATGTGTAGTTCAGTCTTGGACTGTGCACAGAGCAAACAATTGTGCCATTGTTCAGTTTTTAGAAAAGGATAATTTTCTATCAGACAAAAGAAGAAGGACCCCCCCCCCCACTGCCCAATTTGTGTTATGTGTTACTTACTGAGTTCCATGGGCTCAAAAGCTTGTGATGCTCAGAGCCAGAATGGTAACTGGTTTAACATTTTTCCTTCTGCATTTAAATTTGTGAGGGGGAAGGAGAGTGAACATTTAACAGAAAAATATTGCAAGTTAATGTGTGTGAAAAACTCAGAGGGTCAAAGGAAAACAAAGACAAAACAACACTTAAAACATCCCATAAACCACTGTGATATTTAAAACACCACAGACTCGCCAATGGGGGCTCCCAGTGTGCTCTGAAGGAGTGGGTGGTACTGATGGGTGCTATCGTTGCTGGCTGGCGCTGGCAGGTCTGCAGGATTAGGAAGATTTTGCATACTTTATAGATTTCTGTTCCATGGGTAAGTGCTTCACCCAGGTAAGGGGCCATTAACAGTCTCTGCTTGGTTAGGAAAATGGGACGGGATTCACAAAGGTGTTAAGCTGTAAACGGTATCACTGTCCACTTGCTGAGCGCAGATTTGGCAAAGGGTTTTCTCTGTAGGTCTTCTGTCAGTTTGAGGGTCTAAAGAAGGCAAAAAGAAAACTAGAGGTCATTACAGGCATTCAGATAGCAACAGGGGGCACAGTGGGGGTGCTTCATCAGCTTCCCATCTACTCGCCCAACCTCAAAGTCCAGAGGACCTGCAGTAAAGTTCTTTTTGCTCCAGCATTTCAAAGATCTGAAATCCAAGGGCAAAGCACGATTACCAACCTCACTGCTTATTTTTTCCTTATTACAATGCTCTAAAATTGAAAAGACCAGAAGGAAAAAGGATCATACACTTTGGAATGCTAACAAAGAAAAGCACACTAAGGGGTGTTTTGGCAGGCCCTGTTAAGTAAGGGACACCCAGGGTACAGGTGACAGTTTGGTCAAGATTTTGGAACCTAGGGATTTCCAGGACCATGGAACGTCCATGCTTAAATGTCTTTTCATGCTAAGTTGGTCACCCAAAGCAGACCGGCTGTACTTCTGAGGCTCTCCCCAACTGGTCCCATGACTGGTCTTGCTAGGCAGCCTTTCTATGGGCATTGGATTCTAAGACATAGCCACTTCCTAAATCTTAGGACGATTCCATGGGGAATCTTGACTTCCCCACTGTAGGAGGAGTAAATCATTTCTAAGTGAGCTATCTTAGGAATCTGATTTTTATATTAAAAATCTGCAGAGAAGAGCTAGAGAGACTGCTAGCAGTTAAAAGCACTGGCTGCTGTTACAGAGGACCTGGGTTTGGTTCCCAGAATCCACATGGTGGCCAACAACAATTCCTAATTCCAGTTCCAGGGGATACAACATCTTCCTCTGGCCGCTGCTGGCACTGTATACATGAGTGCACTTATGTACATGCAGGCAAAACACTCATACACATAAAATAAAAATAAACCCAATTTTTAAAAAAATTTACAGAGAAAAAATTATACAGCATCGCAAAAACCAAATAAATTTTCCATAAAACATCTTGTGAACAACATTTTGTCTTCAACAGTCTTCAGTGGAAAGGCATAATGGAGGGCCTCCCAGGGAACCTGACAGGTCTTAACAGATTTCAGGGGACTACCAGCCCAGGAAAGTTAAAAGAATTAACATTAAAAAGTATACTTAGAGAGATGAAGCTAAAGGAATCAACATGGCAGGTCTCAAGACATACGATCTTCAGTTTATGGAGACACTGTTGGCTGGCCTGGTAAGTAAAAGCAAGGTAAGACAGAAAAACGGTAACAAAGCACTGTAAGGTCAGGCAGAATAACTAACAGAAAACACATGAGTAAACACACACAGCGCAGGGAATATATCTGCCTCCTCCTTTTGTAGCAGCATTTTTGTGACTTTAATCTTTTCTGTGACTGTTGTTGGGGACAATCTTATTTTTGTAAGACTTAGCATTTTGGGTCATATTTATCTTTGTAACAGCCCCAAAGAGAAGAAGGAAGTTGTTTTTTTGTTTTTGTTTTTTAATCTGAGGCAGAGATAATATCAGGGAAAGAAAGCCCCTTTCTTCCCATGGATCCCTATTTTGGTGGATTATTGCTCTAGAGGTATTCTCTGCTTGGTAAAGCCACTAGGCAATACTATCTTGGGCTATAAAATAATGGCTTGTTACTTTCAGAGGGAGAAAAAGCTAAAGTAAATCCAAGACCTCAGAGTCTGTGAGGAATTGGGCCTGACACCATTCCAAGTCCTCTATGTGGCTCCCTGAAGCATGAACCATCACGGCTCACAGATGAAGTTCTTTGAAGGGGATGTTTTTTGTTTTCTTTTTCCTTCACAATAAGTTAATAAGTCACAATCTAACACCACTATACAATTAGTCACCAGGGGATTACGTTCCCCAAGTCCTGATCCTGACTTTCTCTAAGTGCCAAGGGAGAAGTGCAAGGTATTATCTAATTCAGACCACTCCCTCATTCCCTTTGGTGTTAATTATTCAGCCAGAAAAACTAGTGCATGATGGGAAGATGACACACTTCACTCCCCAAGTACAGAGGCAGAGCATATGGCTTGCTCTGCTGCTAGGTCTGGACCAACTTGGGAGGGAAGCACCCAGAGAGCACCACGGCACCCAACAAGTCACACCAAAGGCAATTCCCAGGCCATATACCCATTCCCTCAGCAAAAGGCCCAGAATCTTCTGGGAATGTCATCATTAAAGAGAAGAGGCACTAATCATCACTCTTTCTCTTTCTGCAGAACTGGGGTGGGGCCATCTGTGACACTATGTGCTGGAGTTTTCCTCCAGAGTCTCAGGTAATGCCTCCTGGGGAGGCCCATGCAGGAAGCTGCCTCTGTGCCTCTGGGTTGAGCCAGCAGGGCTAGTCAGCGCCTACAGGGGGCATAGTTAACAGAGAAACTCACTCTACCCAACTGGAGGGCTATAGGTTTTTTCCTCTGATAGAAGGAAAACAGTGTAAAGTAAATCAGACAAATGCTGAAGCAAAACACAGTCGTCCTTCTAAGAGGAACCTGTTGAAGACCCAGGTGAACAAGGAAAAGCAGCCAACATTCCTTGCCTTTCACTTCTAACTGCTGTTCTGCAGCTCACTGTTGGAATCTGTTCATCTACTTCAATCAAGGACCAAAAGGGTGGAGGAGCAAAGTGACAGAATCAACTACTGAACCTGGGGGGTAGGGGGGGTATCAATGATGCTTGCATTGGAGTTTCACAATTTTAAGAAAGCTCTCACCATTCTCACATGGATTTAAATATGGCCCTTTAACCATGAGGCGCAGGCGTGCGTGCATGGGTGTGCATACACTGATGCCCTAGTAGCTTAAAAAAAATTTATCAGGGGCTGGAGAGGCGGTTCAGTGGTTAAGAGCACTTACTGCTCTTCCAGAGACCTGGGTTCAGTTCCCAGCACACACATGGCAGTTAATACCGTCCTTAATTCCAGTTCCAGGGGATCTGACACCCTCTTCTGGCTTATGTGGACACCAGGCATGCATGTGGTAGACTTACATAGAGGCAGATGAAATATTCATATACTTAAGAAATGTTTTTTTAAAAGTATCAGATTAAACAGGACTTTAGAAGGAAAAGGAAGCAGACAGCTGCCAGAACTACAGCTGTTACTTTGCAGTTTCCAAGCAATATACTAATTAACAAATATAAAAACGCTGCCCTGGCTCATCAGTGACTTTCATCAAGAGAGAGAAGATGTATTTTCTCCCTCTCACTAAGTTTGAAGTCAGGCTCTTGATGCAAGGAAGACCAAATAAATGGTGAGGTGAGTTCTAAAAACATCTGTGGGTGCTCTCACCTGGTCTCTGGTGAGGTTAATCCCTTTGTAATCCTAGCACCTACATTCTACAGAGAAAACAGGTTTCTGCCTAATTATCCACAGTGGTCTAAGAAAGGGAGACATCTCCAAGATGACACCAAACATAACAACCCAATCAACTTGAATTTGGGCACAAGGCAAACCATCCCCATTGCTGTGCTCCTTCAGTTTAATGCCATTATGAAAAACATGCATTTGTCAGCAGTATTTTTATCTTCCTGGTAAAGAAGGACCAAAGACCCCAATACTAAATATGATGTGAAAGGAAAACGAGAAGTTGGACAAGACTCTCACATCCACAAATCCATGAAGGTAAGAATTTTGACTGTCTGAAGGACTGCCTGCCTGAAAAACACAGTTAAAGTGAAAAACAATATTCATGCTTTAAAAGCAGAGACAATTTAAGACAACCTACAACTCCACGGCCAAGCTGAGAACCAAATACAGAGTCCTCAGGACAGACAAGGACACCAGAAAAGAAAAGGACCCTTTTATTGACAGGGCAGTCTTGCATGGGGTTCAGAAAACAGTTGGGAGCTTCAGTTTCAACTTTTTACTGGAGCACACAGCAAAGAAATGTCTGTGGGCACTGTCTTTTCCTTCACTCTGAGAGACCGATGTATCCAAGGCACAATCAGGGCTTCAGAGCTAGTGGTGCCCTAGAAAAAAAAAACATGTTTGCAAGCTGCAAATGAGGCAGCCACATCTAGTTTTTTCTTGAGATAGGCTCTCACGTAGCCCAGGCTGGCCTAGAACTAGCAAGTAAAATAACTGAGGATGACCTTGAACTCCAGTTGGCTGGAGGACAAGTTTCTGCTTGGTGGTAAAGCCTCCCAAAAAGAAACCAGTAATGAATAGATTTTTTTTTTTTTTTTTTTTTTTGGCTATCAGAAAGAATGGATCCCAAGAAATCAGAATTTCCCTAGAAATCTCCTGCTGGAAGCCCTAGGGACATCAAAGGCAGAACATTCTGAAGAAAGATTTATAACCGAGGCTGGTCTTCCAGAGACAGTAGGAGCTAAGAAGATGGTGGGCATGTGACCAGGGTAGTGGGACTGCTTAGTTAGGTGTATGTCTTTGCTTTCTATTTGAACCCTGCCCTCGTGTCAGGACTCCCCTCACCCCCTGCACTTGGGGGAAGTTGCTGTAATCTGTCCCTTTGGGGACGGATATAATACATTTTGTGGCCACAATGAATAAGTTTCCTTCTTTTGCGTTTCACTATTAATTTGGCTTCTCCTTTAATTCTTAATAAGGATGAGTGGCTATACATGTCTTGTTGGGGCACAGGGTGTAACCCCAAAGTCTAGTATCACCTGGGCCTTCATTCTTCTTACTGGGTGAATAAACACGGAGAAAGTAAACCTTAGATTGAGAAGTTTTTAATGGCAAAGGTGACTTTGGGAGAACATGGGAAGGCACTAAGCCACATGCACTAAAAACCAAAAAGCACAGTTTACATAGCAACAAGCTTGACTTGTGACATGCTGAGCTGAGCTACTTACTAAGAACTTTCCAGGTGTCTGAGAAGGCTGAGGACCCTCAAGAGCCTTTGTCTCCAGGACACTTTGACACCTGGACTTCATCTGGCTGGCCCTGCTGGCCAGCCTTTGTGCTGTGCTGACAAAACACAAGGGAAACCAAAGAGAAACGACAATCCTAGCACGTCACAGTTGAGGAACAAAGCACTGTGCCAGGGCTTACTGATGGCTGAAATCCGTTGAAGGAAGAATGGCCTGTTTC